ACCCCCCCCCCCCCCCGCCCCCGCCTTTTTTTATCCATCCACCACTGGTGTTTTCCAGACCTGTTCCTATTTCACGCAGCAGCAGCAGTCCCGCCACCAAGTGATTATTTAGGTGTATGGCCGCCAAGTGTCGCACAAAAAGTTTTTCGATATGATGTTATTTTATAGGAACCGACAACAAAGCAGTCAGTCATCGACGTGTGGGGTTAACAACTCTTCACCGGTTTTACGTTTTAGTCTTGGCAATACAATGCCTTTTGAGTTCGTCTGTCTTGTCTGTCTTTAGTTCGAATCGAATCGCGACTGCTGTCGGTAGCGGCCCCGCAAATAGTGCGGTGTAACGGCAAGAAAAGTTGCAGCAGTATACCGCGGGGACCCCGCACTATTCGGTTGAGGATCGCCTGGGCTTAGGTGAAAGACGTCGCCAAAACATGCGCGAAGAGGTTGGCTGTGCCCGTAATATGTCGGTACCTCCCCACAGCTAGGGAGCCCGTTGCGTACTCCGTGTTTGGCGGTGCAACTTTGGGTTTTTAAACTGTTGGCGAGGTGTGCGATGTCCCCTTTCGCAGCACCATTGTGTAGTGCTGTAAGGCGTGACCTTGGAACGGGTTGGCTGCTGCCGTGATGGCCTTGGACGTGAAGGGGCGGGTGTTTGTTTCCCGAAGGCGTTCGTGGTTCGACAGGCACACGAATCAGAAGGAGGAAAGGGAGACTACTGTAGTGCGACGCCGCCGTGTTAAGCATCATCGTGATAGGCACTAGCAGTGCTCCGATTTCTGGAGGAGGATCCACGTATGCGCTCGAGGGTGGAACTGAGCTATCATGTCGTGCCCGATCTGTTTAGCTGAGGGGGTTGGCAAACCCTGCCGTGAAGTAACGCTTGTTTTTGTAAGGTAACTGTTTTGTACTTGTACTATTTTTTATGAGGGTTTCCGCTCGCCGCTCTTGGGCGTGACGTTTTTTTTTAGTGGTGCAGCAGCTGCTGACGACCGGGGGGAAACGGCTTTCCTGTTTTTTTTTCCGCGCTGGAGTTTTTTTTTGGGCCCCTTTTCATTGATTTTTTTTTTAGTACTGCTTGGGCACCCCCCGGGGTGGGGGGGGGGGGGGGGGGTGCTCAACGCGAAGGTGTCCTTTGGCATCAACGTGCTGGTCTCACCGCCGTTTTTATGTCGCTGTTTCCTTTGCGATTTTTACATGTTTCAAGGGGCGGGGTCTAACTTTGTGGCTCACGTTCGTCTTTAAAGTGTCATCACAAGTTCTCGCTCTTGTGAAGAATTTTTGCTTCTTGTTGTCGCTGTTATTTACGGAGGGCTTAATCCTCCTTCAACGGCATGTACATAGGTTTCGGAGGTAGGTTGAGCTGGTTTTTTTTTTTAGGCCGGATTTTAGGTGAGACGTTATGGGGTAAAGGGTGTGTAATTCCGTACACGAGGCAGTATACGGGACGGGAGAATAGTCTACGAGTATTCCGCAACCTGCTTCTGGTGTCGAGCAACTGGGTTCGCAGTTGGCTGTTTGTGTTTGCAAGGAAGTTAAGTACGTGTCTGAGCGTAAGCAACCGCAGATGGGCACTATGTAAATAGATGAAGGAAGTGTAGGCATTTCCTGCCATGCCATGTCGTGTGGCCTCCGTACTTCTTGATCAGTTTCCCTCGAGTTGTCGTCATCTTGAGTGGCACTTCCCACATAACTCTGTTTTTGTTGAGTCACTCACGGCATGTCGTTTTCGTGTGTGCGTTTTTCTTTGTTCAGACAATTTACGCGGGGATCATTTTGGTTCTTGAACCACACATTTCGGTGTCGGTTCCTTTGTTCACTTTGACTTGGGCTTCCACGTGACACGTGTGTGTGTGTCTGGCGTTTGTCTATGCTTTAGTGTCGAGGTAAATAGTCGTTTGGCATGGAGGAGAGCATCGATCGGTGTGGAGTGATGTTGCTTTTGACGTTATCTTGAATATCAATGAATACATGCAAACAGACAGCAATCGTTCGACTTCTTGGTTGGCCTACGGTAGAGAGGGGCTCGGGCCTTGTCGGTGGCGTTCTGTGCAGCGAAAGGAAGAGCAGGTATTTTCTTTCAGCTATCCCTTTTGCCTTGCGAGCAGCTTCGTCAGTTGGCCGCCGCCGTAAAAAAATGTGTTATCTTTCTGTCGGCGGTTGGTGTGTTTCATGAAAGGGCCCCTGCCCGGTGATCGTGTGCTTTCTTTTCTTTCCACTTGGCGCAAAAAGCTCATCACCGAATGTCGGCGAAAAGCAAAACACCATGTGTTTATATCTCTCTGATTCAGCTATCTACCGTGCAGTGTGCCTTGTAGCCTGGAACGAGGCCATCGGAAAATAAGTGTACTTGTTGCCCATTGCAGGGTTCGCCCCCCCCCCGACCATCCATCCACCAATGCGAGTGAAACAAGAGAGGTGGGGGGGACATGTCAGTCTTTTGGACATTGACCGAAGAGCAAGCCATCATCCGTCTTCTTCTTTTTGGTTACACTCAGAGAAGCACCTTGAATTTTCTCCCATCATTTATTTATTTATTTTTCTCTTCATCGTAGTCTCTTCCATCAGCAGCCTATTGTAGTCTCCGTCCAAACTCCCCGTGTTTCAACACTCAAAGCATGCCTGGGTGTTGACATGTTTCTTATTCTTACAAATGCCGCAGGGCATTGTCGCACAACCAACCTTGTTCTTCACCTCTCCACTACAAAACCACCAACCAAACCACCCCTTCCGAGCGTGTGTGCTCAGCCAATGAAAATAAATAGCACGTAGATACGAACAGACATTCTTAACGAAGCTAAGGAGAAAGCGGCAGAATATCGCCCCGAAAAACATGTTTATCTTGTCAAGGCATGATCTAATACCCGGTTTGACCCAATCGCTGGCAACAGCCATCACCCGCCACATCTTCACACCAAAAATATGCACCTAGTCTACCCCTACCCGTACCCCCGGCCACCAACTACAACCATTCACCACTTGCCTATGCCCGCCCTTGATACACTTACTACATTTTTGCTGCCGTGTAGTACGACACGTATAGTGCAACTAGTTCCTTTTTGGTGCCTCCCTGCCAGGAAAGGGGCCGCAGAGGACAATCATCAAGTAGATAGACCTATATCCTACACACAATGAGGTAAATAGAAAAATCAGAAAATCCCGCCCGGCGTTTGGCGTCGAGCGCTAGCTCCCGGGGGCAGACCGATACGTAATAAACCAGAAGCTAAGGGACAAACCACCCGTCCGTCCGGGTGGATGCTAGACTATTATACATGACCACGGAATACAAGAGGAATAGAATAACACACGATGCTCCCAGTCCGAGCACCACATACAACAACGATTTGTGCCACAGCGCTAGAGTGCCTTGTCTGCTAGCATACATATTTTTATACCAGTTTTCGGTGTACGAACATCTCACACACGGGGTGGGGGGACACCAACCCTAACGTCTGCCCGTGCATGCATTTATTGATCACCAAACATCGACATAAAAAAATATAAAAAAACAGTAAACATCGCTACAGATGATAAAACTAGCACCGTACGCCAACCGGTACGCCATCCACGGTAGTATCACCAACAACATCAAGTTGACGTCACAAACAATCATGACTGTACAGGCCTATCAACCATCAACCAGCATGAACATGAACATGAACATGGCCGGGCGTACAGAAGGTACGTACATATCCACCCGTGCGTCGGTATAATACGTGCTCGCGCCTAAATCAATCCTCCTGCAGCAGTCCATCTGTCAACACTCGCAGCCAGATGCAAAACTCCAAAATACCCCGGGGTCATCGGAAGATTATCACCGTCTATAACGAACCAGGCAAAAGACGGTTCCACCGAAAAATTGTACATCGAACCACCAATTCTCATTTTCCAAACGCGTACGTAAAATAACACCGACCATACTTTTCGAGCCCGTCGAATAAATCCAGATCCTTTTTTTTTCTCCACGCTTTCGCCTCTTCGTCCACAGTAAGTAACAACAACAGACTTTTTTTTCAAATAAGAAACCAATGCACTGTACTCTTTTTTCCAGCGCAATCTCGCAGCTTAACCCCATGCATACCTATCAGGCAAAGTCTACGGGGCCATAACTACCAGCGGCGCCACCGACGCTACAAGTACTGCGGGGGACAAGAAGATCCTCCACGCCGATGAACACCCCGGCGGCCTGTGCCTCCTTCAAGAAAGCGTCGCTGTTGTTCATACTTCTCCCGTCGCCACCGCCGCCGCCGCCGCCGCCGCCGCCGCTCTTGCTGTTGTCGGGAGGAGAAGAGGCCCTTACCCCCGAGTCCGTCGACGAAGCAGGCGAACTAGAAGGAGCACTGCCGCCGTCGTTAGGATCCCAGTTAGCCGCGAACAGGTCGATGAAGCCGAAGTCCTCCTGGTGGGGGGACGCATGAGACAGCTGGTGGTGAATCGGCACCCCGGAAGCAGGCGAGGGTTCGGGGGACCACGGGGCCCCCGCATCGCCAGGGATAGCGATGTTGGCGGCCCCCCACCCGAACTGCTCCAGGTGCGAGAGCGGCGAGGACTGGTGCGGGGAGTTCCACCCGTTGAGCGAGGCGCCCACGACCGCCGCAAGGGAGAGGTCCTGGTCGTGCTGCTGCATCGATGGAGACGCCTGGGTCGCCTTCGCCGCCGCCGCCTTCGCCGCCTTCGCCGCCGCCGCCTGGACGGTCGCTACGGCCTGCCCGACCGGCGAGTGGATGGACATCGGGGAGTGCCGGTTGATGATGGGGTCGCTGTGGCCGCCGCTCTCGTCGCAGTCGGTGTCGTGGAACAGGTAGGGGCTGCTGGGGTCGAAGGTCGTGTCGGACTGGCTCGGCGAGGACGACCCCGCGGAAGAGAAGGACAGCGAGGAGGCCAAGGAAGAGCTAACGGAGGACGTCCGGTCGAGGCCGCCGAAATCGCCGACAGGAGAAAGCTCGTAGTCGGAGGGCGAGGTCATGGTGGTGGGGGTCAACACGTGGTGCAGGCCGGTGGGAGACCTCGCGGGCGAACCGGGCACCTGTTCCCGCCAGTGGTTGTTCATGTTGTCGGGCTGCCCCCAGCACAGCCGGTCGTCCTCGCTGTCGCCGCTCGAAACCCGCTCGAGGCCCCCGGTGGTACTCTGGGTCGGCCATGTCTCGTCGTTGGAGCTCTCGTCGCCGCCGTTGCTGCTGCCGTCCTGAACGTACCTCGCGCCGCCCCCGGTGCCAGAGTCCACCCGCCGACGCAGGGCGCTGCGACGAGACCCCGCAGCCGCCGGCCCGAACTCTTCGTCGTCCGAGACCTCGTCGTCACCGTCATCGTCGTCGTCATCGTCGTCGTCGTTGGCGGTGGTGGCGTCGTCTTCGAGCTTCCGGCTGCGGCGGATCGGGCGGAGGTCGGCTTGCGCGGCCGCCCTCGTCCTACCCCGCCCGGACAGCTGAGAAGCAACGAAAGCATTCCCGCCGCCGCCGCCGCTGCCGCCGCTGCCGCCGCCGCCCTTGGCGCGGGCGAGGCGCTGCGCGGCTCTTGCCTCAACGGCGAGGTCCCGCTTCACCTTTTGGCGCCGGACCTTGGAGAGCAGGTGGCGCTGCCCCCTGCGGAAGCTGGGGTGGTGGAAGGCCCCCGCGTGCGCACCTTTCCGGCGCTTGAACTGGTAGAGGTTGAGCTGCCGCTGAAACGAGGTGAACTTGGAGTCTGCGTGGTGGGCGAGGGGGCAAGAAAGGGTAGGTAGCCGAGGGGCGGGGTAGGGGCGGCGGTTTAGCGGGGGCACCGGAAGGAGGGGGTAGGAAAAATGGATACCTTTCAACGGCTGTAAACGGTGCGCTTTGGAGACCCTCTTCTATTCATAGGTACCACACACCGGCCGCCGACACCGCCACCGCCACTGCTTCTAGGTGTGTGTTAGTCTAAGAGCGGGGCACGCGAGACAAGCGAGACAAGCGTCGCGAGTGTGCTTGCAGTAGGGGGCGGAAGGTGCACATGGTAAATGGTTCGCGCGGGATTTAAAATTCTGAAGTGCTCTACACTGCACGCGCGGTAGTGGTGTACAGGGGTGCCGGCAAGGTTGGTTCGGGCAGAATAGGGTACGCTCTATGCGGGCGGTAGGTGCTTGTTGTCGACCGACATTTTATTAGGGTAACACGGGCAACCGTTAGTCGCCGTGAACAGGGTGCTCTGCGAAGACGCTTGCTTGTAGTAGTAGTCTAGAGGAGCGCGGATGTATTGCGTGACATTTGACGATTGTACATGCAGCAAAGGTTAAGGTTGTTCCAAGTAGCAATGTTGAACGGGAAATGAATCAGGGAAAAGTTAAAGTTGTCGACCGCGCATCATGTATGCAATGTACTACGGTACTCTGTATCACAGCTTTTTGTCCGTGCGCGAACCGACCACGAACGGCAGCAGAGAGGGTCGGCAAGCCCAGTCAGCCGCCGAAAGCATACAGCAACAGCGACTTGACAATCACTTTGCTCTGAAGAGAACGGGGTCCGGGAAAAAGCCATGGGCAGGATATATACACTGCTGTAGAAAAGGACAAAGAAATCGTGTGGCGCCCAGCCGAGATTGCATTCATAATTTAACGGAAAACAGCAATAAGTAAGTTGCATCGGTTCCTCCGGGTCATTGATTTTTTCTCCTCATTCTTTAGTGCCAAATCACTATTTATTGTCCGACGTTAACTTCCAAGCACATAAAGTCCCCGCCAGGTCAGGGAGAGATGGAATCTGAAGGATGCACGTATAATATGTGCATAAGGCGACCGACCGGTTCGGTCATCGCGTCTACGACATATCTGCCATTCATGTCGAATACGCACACACGCGCGCAACCACGCACCACCGGTTAGTGCGGTCGATGTTACAATACAATGTACAAACAAATACGGGCAAAGAAACATACACACACAAAACACACACGCAGCCAGCAGCATCAGCCACACACTCACGATTAAAGTACTTCTCCAACACCTCGCAGCTGAAACGTTGTATGTCCTTCACGCGAAACGCCAAGCCGTCAGGCAGCCACTCCACGATCTCGGAGTCCTCCTCTTCCACGAGCGTGAACAGCTTCTGGGCGAACAGCTGAGGGCCACCGCGGGCACCCACCCTGCGAGTGGGACTGAATGCCGTGCCGCCGCCACCCCCTGTGCTCGAGAGCTCCTCGTGCTGCGCCTGATGCTGCTTCATGCTTGGTGCTTCTTCCGCATCCTGGAACTTAACGGGCGTCGGGCGCATGGTGTTTGACGATGACGGTGGCGCGAGCCGCGCAGTTGCGGAGAAAATTGGCAACGCACTACCTAGGAGAGAGTTGGTGCCAAGGAGCACGTCGTCGGAATGAAGGGTTGGGACAGACAGACGTATGCTGCTCGAGAGGGGTACCAGCGACGGGCAAGACAGCGGGACCAAAAACAAGTACTACAATGGGGCGTCATTCGGCGAAGTGATGTAGAAGAAAGAGGTCTCCCGCCCTCATTTCCAACCTACAGCAACAGGTTTACGGCTTCACAGATTATTTGTTTGTGCGGAGTGCGGGTTGCGCACCATCACGCACATGTTTACTGAGGTAGGCTCCTGTTTTCAGGAACGACAGGAAAACGGTAGAAAAAACTCCGAAAATGCCGGTGGTCCGCGCAGAAAATAGTGAAAGTTACGTCAGTTTCTGTGAGCTTATGAGACACACACACGGAGCGACACGCAGCGATATCGAAGTTCACCGCGAAGACACCGACAGAGATCAGCGAAGCACTTGTATGTCTTGAGACCGCAGCGCTCACTTTTTCTGCTCTATGTCGCTGACATCTACGCCACGTGTCTGTTTGTGTACTGTGCTGCTGTAGTTGTGTTGTTGTTGTTATTGTTGTTGTTGTTGTCTTTTCAAAATAAACAAAGGAACTGTTTCTTCGCAGCTGTCGGTCGGTGTATTTATTTGCTGAATGAAGAACTCAACCCACTGCTGTATTATACACCATCACCAGCAAGCTCGGTGGTGGCTGGTGCATCACGTCCCAACCGTTGTATGTGCATGCAGGCAGTGCCCTATTATTTGCTGCTAGCGAGGGAATCAGCGATCTGTTGAATCTCTTGTGCATCGTATGTAGACACGTTTGTGTTCGACTCGTCGTGTTGGTTGTTGTGCGCATGCATGCATGCATGTGAGCGCAGGAAAGATGTGAAACTGCGCGGCTCATAGGCCACGAGTGAGAGTCCTCCCATCCAGCATTCCCCTGTAGTCATGACTGACTCTACTTCAGCCCCCTCAGTTGGCCACGCATGCATCGTGCCATCATTCACAAACAAACGTGCCGCGTGTGTGTGTGCTTTATTTAGCTACAAGTAGGGTGCTTTTTTATGTGTGTGTGTTCGCTTGCTTGCAGAATTATTTCTTTGGCCTTGCGTCTACCACCTTCTTCTTCGATGTAAACCCTTGGTTTTTCCTGTCGCCTCGATACTCCTTGCTGTACATAGATGTTGTTGACACCCCCACCGTGAGACCAGCAAGCTACAACAACAACAACAGCCTCTGTTGTTCGGTCCTCCTGCCTATCAAACCAATGAAGTAGTAGCGCAGACAGAGACGCGCGAAGGCGCTCCCATTACCTGCTGTTGTTGTTGTTCCTCCACAGACAGCTATTATTATTATTATTATTATAGCTGCAGGGATGGATCATCATCCTCTACGCGAATGCATGCATACTGCATACTTGGTATATATATATTCTATGTACACCTGATGATATGCCATGACGTGGATCACATGAAACCTGATGATGCATAGGCATTTATTATTCCTTAATGCATAGGCATTGCTGCTGCTGTAGACGCGCTGCAAGTAACAACTGCTGTGAATCTTCTTCTTGCTTGCTGGTGAAAAAAATATTCATCAGTTTCTTCTCCTCCTCCTGCTTTGACCTTCTCGGTTGGTGAAAACATACATACCAATCCATGACCAACCGCGTAGTAGATAGTCGCCGCATCGAGTTCTTACATACACACACCTGGTGCTGCATCATCTACAGCAACGACACTACAGTACATACTAATCGCTTCACTGTCTTACTTACATCATGAAGGAACAGAGACAACGTCATGCAACAACAACAGCACATCAGTCCAGGTTTCTTATTTTCGAGGAGTTTTTTTGCCGGGGGGCATGAGGCTGTTCAGAAGGAGAGAAGTTGGTGAGAGGCTCTCACCAAGAGTTGGTGAGAGGCTCTCACCAAGCTCTCACCAACTAACTCCTCTCGCCAACTCTTCTCCTCCTGATGATGAGCACTCTCGAGACGTGAGAGGACATCGCTCGCCGTACGGTTCCGTCCGACGGAGTAACACCATATATATATATATGTATAATATTATATATGTACCACCATCTAGACTGCTGTTATTATATTATTGTTATTGCCGAGGAGGGAGGCAGACTACTTTGTACCCAACATACACGTTGCAATCAATCAGGTTGGTTGGCTGTGCAACCAACGGTTGGGAAAAAAGTATTCCATCGGTTCAGGGAAGGTCTCGAGCTCTCGAGTTTAGCAAACAAACGCGGTAGGTATCGTTTGAGCTGTTCGTTCTGGACCGAAAAGAGATTCGACAGCTCTATTTGATATTTTATACTTTACGGTATCTGAGGATGGGTCCGGCGGCTGTCTGTGCGCTCACTGGCTACAGCAGTAGTAGTAGTAAATAGCAGCCTGTTGCGCTCCCACCCACCCACTGTGTATGTATGTGCAGCAGCAGCAGCAGCATAAATACATACATGTAGTTCATGAGCCAAAATCGCTACTACGCCCAGCCGGCGTGCTTGAGCTTGCTACCCGATGGCTGCTGCCGCTCCAAAGCTCCCCTTCCTTGCAAGTCATACCTATCACAGATTGTAACCCCGTGGGTCTTCGAGGCTGTATGTACGCCGTTCAGACGTTCAGATAGATATTTTTCGGCGTACCGCGTATAATACCGCAACAAATAGTCTTATGAGTGACATCATAAAAATGTACGTCGTTACTATTTGTATACATACATACCTTTGTGGTGGGTTTCTTCCAAGAGCTTTCATGATGAACGCAGACCGGGGCGGGTGGAGTTGGATGAGAACGCATGCGATCCCAACCTTGGGAGTACGTGTCATGTGGTCTCCAAGAAAAAAAAAAAATGCCGAAATCAAACCAACCGAGGAGACTGCTGTGTGTGTGTGTGTGTATTTATTTTTTTTCCCAACCGCCGTTTTGTACTCGTACATACGGCAAAACCATGTTTGTTGTGCTGCTGCTTTTTGGTCAGGTCGCGGCACATGTGAGTGATTGCATCTCGTTCGTATACAGTTTTCAAGAACATCAAATGCGCTATTGTACAGCAGCAGTTGTACATGATAGATCATTTTCCTACGAAGAACGAACACGGTGGGGACGCAAGTGAGATAGAGAGAGAGGAGGAGATCGGAGAGTCGAAAACGTGTTGTAGTTTCGTCGGCGCATGCGGCGAGATCTCCCGTTTGGTGCGCTTTTCTTAATTAAGGAATAATAGAGATGGTTTCGTTGTGTCATATTAAGAAAAAAAAAAACACACACACACACACACACACAGAAAGCGGTCGATGCTAATAATAAAAACACACACAGAAAGACTACCCATTCGAGATATACCCACAGTCGAACGGGATTTGGTGGATGGAGTCTTTTCAGACTCCTTAATATTAATATGACATTTCGAAATTTCGAAATTGGAAGGTAAAAATTCTTCTTGACGTTTCATGTTGGCCTCCCGACGTTTGTGGAAACCCTATCATTCAAAAACACATGTTTTTCCGCCCTGTGGCGGGAGCACACATGTAAGTGCGGTATGCCCGGCTTCCCTCTGGCAGTGTTACTCAGCTTCGCAGTGCTCAGCTGTCAAATAGTGGAGGGCTTTGTGCCACGGCGCGTATCCATACCGTCATCCCGTACGCGCAGCGCAACGGGGACAGCACACCCGATCATGGCCGAGAGGAGCGGCAGCAGCATCAGCAGCAGCAGCAGCAGCAGCAGCAGTCCCCAGGGGCGGAGCGGCAGCACAGCAATAGCGTCGAGGAGGAGCGACGACAGCCTGCCTCGCCCTGGCATCCTCATCGTCGGGTTCGGGGGCGGGAATGGTGTCACCGTGGCCGCCGGCGTGCTCGCGAACCAGAAGAAAATCTCCTGGGAGGGGCCCACCGGCCGCAACTCTCCCAACTACCTCGGCTGCATCACGCAGCTCCCGAGCAAAGGCGGCAGCGGAGGCTACCGCGAGCGCTACGCCCTCGCCGATGCCAACAACGCGGCCATCGGAGGCTGGGACATCCGCCCCACCCCTCTCGGCGAGGCCCTCTACAACGCCCGCATCCTCGACTTCGACCTCGTCCGGCAGGTGCGCGAGGAGATGGACACCCTCAGGCTGCTCCCGGGCGTTTGGGACCCGGACTTCATCGGCGAGTCGCAGCATGAATCGGCCACGAACGTCGTCGGGGACGGAGAGAGCCAGCAGAGCCGCCTGGAGCGCCTCCGCATTGACATCCGAGAGTTTCGGGAGGCCGAGGGCGTGACGGGGCACGTGACGGTCATCTGGAGCGCGAGCGTGGAGCGGCCCAGCGAGCGGGAATTCCAGGAGCCTAGCCAGGTAGTACAACGTCAACTCGAACTCTCGTAGTCTACATTAGCCCATGCTGCGGTAGAATACACATGAGCGTGGAATGCATACATACATCACCATGAACACCTGTAGCCGGGGGCTGCCGTTGGGTTTCTTTACAGCAGTCAAACTATCTTATGAGGGCTAACAGGATTGTTTTGTGTCACTGCTGTAGCTGTTTTCGGAACCGAGCCCCCCCGCGTGTGCAACATCTGGTGTCCTGTTGCAGTCGACTGCTGTGTTCAACATGTGCAAAGTAACACCTTTTGATGCAGTTGTAGCGTCGTGAGAGCTGAGCCTTCTTGCAGACGCTGGAGGTCGTGCACTGTTGATGGGGTTATACAGCGCCAATCCTCCTGCTCCTGCTGCAGTATACCAACCACTTCAATTTCGCCTTCTGACCTGTGGGCTGCTTGGAAGCCATCAATTGCCAGCATGAGTAAGTACCGATCAGGTCGTGGCCATACCTCGGTGCTTCTTATCTACCTCGCGCCCGCTTCTTCGGACGTAGCGATCTGTTTTTGCGAAAAGTGCCGGCCCACGCATAAGAAGCACCTGTTTCAAGCAAGACTCAAAGCCTCGCTGTGTCTCACCGTGTGAGCTACCGCGTAGCATATTTTCGTACATATGGTGCCCCTTTGGCTGAGCTTATATTTCGTATTTAAATTAGCGCCGTTTCTTCTTGTGTCCTAAGAAAAAGAAACTTGAGCCCGAGCTCCTCGTGCGGAGGCATGTTCCTTACGAGCTGGCCGGCACCGCTTTGCTTGTTTCCCCTTGCGTTTCTTCTCCCACGTCCAGCTACTAGAGGCAATCGCTGCAGACGACAAGGAGGTGTCTCCTTCCATTCTGTACGCGGCTGCAGCCGTACTCGAGGGATGCTCCTTCGTCAACGGTGGCTCGCAGAACACCATGTGCGGGGCGCTCCTGAAGTTGGCCGAGGTGTGGTGATCATGTTCCTGTTTTGCGTCATGTTTCTGCGGCGTGGGAGTGCGCGAGCCGTAGTGCGTTTCGTTGTAATCTGCGTGGTGGTCTTACCCGAGAAGGTTTTGGTGACACAGCAGTATGGCATGTACGTGAGGCAGTACGTATAGCACGGTGGATTTCGTTTCCGCATGGCAACGAGGATCACGTTGACGTGATGATGATGAATGGCATGCGTGCTATGATAGCCCCTTTTTTCGTGACACGAAAAGGTTGACCGTCATGCGCGTACACAGCAGTAGTACCTGATCAAGGTGGGGGTGTACGACATTCTGCCTCTTTTTCGGCACTGCTTGCTTCTTGGTGAAAGGCGCTTTGCTCTGCCCACTTTGCGCCGCTACTCCTTGTAAGCTGCTGTACCCAGTAGCCCAGCATCCACTCGCCATTCGCATGCATGACCGCTGGGCGTCAAGCCATTCACATGCATGACTGCAGGACATGAAACATCCGGTGCAAAGGGGTCACACATGAGGTGTCACGGCGCGAGGTTTGCACCTTTTACCCACCCAAGGCATAAAGGGGTACGGTAAGCTACACGATAGCTGTTGTTGTCGTGGGATAAAGACATTACTCCACGTACTCTTCTGCAGACATTACATCAGTCGATACAACTGGTCGTCTCCCCTGTTGTCGTGTACCTGACTGGCCGGAAACTCGTTGTTTGTGCCTGATGTCCCCAACCCGCCGTGTTCACTTCCCGCTCCCGCTCCTCCCAGGACAACGCGTGCTATATGCTCGGCACCGACTTCAAGGCCGGGCAGACCAAGTTCAAGACCGCTGCGGTGGAGTATATCCGCTCCCTCGGCATGTGCCCCAAGGTGAGATGGGTGTCGTCGTCGATGTGTGCAGCTAGGTAGCGGTATGTGCGTCTTGCCCAAGGTGTTACGAAAACCGTTTTGGTGCTTTTTGCCCAGACCTGCAGTCTAGGTTGCAGGCGTCTCTGCTTGCCTTGGTGCTGCATCTTGTCCGAGAGACTGGGCTGCCGTGGTGCATCGATTACGAAGGAACGAGAAAAGAGAATACGTTGCCCTAAGTCAAACTGTCATCTCTGCCCGTGACGGTGTTCATATATCGTGGAAGCAAGAGCAGGGTGCGCCGGAGGCGCCCCACCCATGGGAGTACCTCACCACGCACAGGCGTTTTTTCGCTCGGTGGTTCTACAGTACGTGACAAGTCTGACTGAACAAACACCGAGAGCCTGCCCCCCACCCGGGTGCCTTCTCTCTTTCACCAACACGGTAACGCTGCTACAAGGAAACAACTTGCATTGCCTGTCGAATTGCTGGGTGCAAAAAGGGCAACAGGTGACCTCCCCCCCCCCCCCCCCCCCCCCACAACCACCATCTCATTTTCCAAACAATCGCTCTCGATGAAAAAAGGTGATCGCGTCGTCCAACCACCTGGGCAACAACGACATGCTAAACCTCACCACCAAGAAGACCCTGGGCGCTAAGATGCGAGTCAAGAGCAACATCTTCGCTCCGTGGGAAGAGGACATCAACCACGAGGTGGGAAAACGTCTGTTGACGTACGTAAGTAGGATGTGGGGGAGGTGCGGGTTATCCTATGAAGCAACACGCAAGCTGTTGATTCAGACACGGTTCTGAAATGTTGCACACAACTACTTCCAACATTTGTTTCCACGTAGACCACTCGATACCCTCAAAACGCCAAAAATATATCTTAGCACGGATTAATTTGTGGCGCATGAAGGGGGGGGTGATGTGGAGAACAGATATACGGGTGTTACAACCATTGTTGCACATATTACAGTGGACCTAAAAGGATCCGATCGAACGCAGTATCTTGGTAATGGTTGAACAGCAAGAAACCTGACCAGGGACGCGGACCTTTCTTCAGCTGCACCTGTGGAGGTGAGGAATGCGGGACCCTCGGTCCTCGCTCCCCTCTCCCCTGAGTGTCTCTCTCTCTCTCTCTTTTCTCTCTCTCTTCCAAGACCTTCTTGTCCTTGCCAAACCTCAACAAAGAGAGAACTGCGAGCCCCCGGTTGTGGGCCAAGACTATCTACCACAAACTAGGTCTCCTTACGACAAGGGAAGCCTGCCCTTGCGGACTTTTTTTTTGCGGGCTTTTTTTTCTTGCGTTACATGTGACTGTACCATACACAACGTGAAGTACGCGTTGCTTGTTGTGTACGGTAGTGCTTGGCAAAACGCCTTCCAGCGAAGGACCTGGCAAAGAGTGTCGAAACTGGGTTAATTTCGCGGAACCTCTCGCGCTTCAACCATTTCCACGGCCCACCCGGATGGGACAGCTACCGATATCATCTCTGATGCTTGTATCGACTCTTGGCATGCTGTTTTCCATACCAATGTTAATGTGCATGATCCAAATTACTCATTTGGCCCCAATCTTGACATTTCACTCCATAACTTCCATGTGCGCACGGAACGACTTTCCAATTTTCGCATCCACGCAGCACCCACGCTGAAACCGCTGTTGTTTTTGGTTTGGTGTGCGCTTTCTCCGTTAATACGACTTCTTTTTTTTTTTCTCCGTATGACCCAACGAATCCATTTCTATCTACATTGTTTAAGAAAAGAGAAACGAGTAGAAAGATAGATTAGCAGCGTATAACGAAAGCTCTGTATTTTTTTTCCCGCGCGCACGTGTGTCTCAGGTGCGCGTGATGTACACGCCCCTCATGGGTGACGAAAAGCGAGACATCGTCGAGTACACCTCGTTCGGGTTCATGAACTGCGCGCACACCATGCTAACCTACACCCGCGCCATGGACAGCGCCCTCTGCGTGCCCCTCATGATCGACGCGGCCGTGTGGTGCGACTACTTCGCCCGCGCGGGCGCGCACCAGGGCAGCGTCGCCCGAGCTCTGGCCTACCTCTTCAAGGTACCCGAGGGGGGAGCGCAGGGCGTCGACCCTGGTTTCTTCAAGCAGATGCGTGCCCTGGAAGAGGAGCTAGAGGCCACGCGGCTGGGAAGTGTGGAGGCGGCGGCGGCGTCTCCCGGAGGGGCGTCCGCGGTCGGCGGGATGCTGGTGGGGAGGGTGCTGTGCGCCGGGATAAGCTGCCTGGATCTTCAGCTGTGTGGGTCGGGGGGCGGCGGCGAGGGGGGTGTAGAAACGATCCGAAAGTTCAAGGAGACCAAGTACTGCCCCGGGGGGTCGTGCCCGCAGGCATCGACGGCGTTGGCTAGGCTCGGAGTGCCGGGGGTGGTGGCGGTGACCAAGATGGGGGCGGACGCCCACGGGGATGAGATGGTTCGACAGGTGAGAGGGTGCGCCTGTCTTATCTGTCCCGCGTGCCGTGTTTTGTTGCGATCGAGTGGGGCTGCTTGTGTGATGGCATGTTCGGAATGTGGGAGAAAGCGCTTCTTTGGTGCGCGCTTCCCAGTGCGATCTGGTGTTTGTAGACGAGGCTATCACGGAAATTGTGTCGTGCTTGTTCATCGCGGTATGCATGCCACCGCTGAATGCGGCGAGTACAGCAACAGCAAACCTGCACCTCAGTCAACTGGTATGTCGTGCGATGCGCTGATTCTACCTTGCATGTCCGAGGCGATGCCGATATAACAAACGTGTGTTGCAGAGGAGTATCACAATTTCGCTTAGACCTTAAGGGTCGACCTTGTGTGGGCGTACTCCCGTGGTTGCTTGAGAAGTCAAAGGGATGGTTGTGTGTAGTAGGGTAGGGCATTTCATTTTTTGCCAGGTCCGACCAACAGCGAACTTTTATCGACCGGGTAAACATCCTATTCATGTGGCACCCCGGCCAACAATACAATCCCACCAGGCCGGTGGCTCGACTCTATCGATCGTGAAGAAACCGACGTAACCCTATCCCTGATTTTTCTCCAACCGCCGACCCGTCCCAGATGTTAGCCGCCGGTGTGGACTGCTCCCGGGTTATCCGCGACGCTTCCGTCCAGACGGCTCTCGCGGTGCTGCCCATATTCTCGTCGGGCGAACGAGGCTGCTTCGTTAACCTTGCCGCCAACGACGACCTGTTGGGCGACGAGGTGGCCGCGGTGCTAAAGGAGGTGGCAGCGGAAGACGGGCCGCCTCTGGCCGCGTTTCACTACGGTTACCCGCACTTCACTAAGCAGGCACGTTTGCTACTACCATGTTTCGTGGTTTCATGTAGTATGGCACGATTGACTATGGGTCAGTGTTTGGCCGAGAAAACAAGAGCCGGACGTCCATCGTGGACCCGATTTTCACCATTTTCCTGGTATCAATTGCCAGGTGTTTGCTTTACTACAATGTCAGTGAAGTTTCATGTCCATGAAGCGAGCATGCGTGTAATGCGCGCACGAGGACGGTGTCCCGCTTCGGACACCTACCAAATTAACCACCCATCCACTGGCAAGACCACTATCACACAATACGGTTGCGTATTCACACATACTCGATAGGCAAAAAGCAATGCGTGTTTTAGAACGACTCTCTGGAGTGCGATCTCAATCCCACATCAGACGCTGTGGCCATCGCCGTGTTGCCAAAGTAGCCCGTTCCGTTTGATGCAAGCCTTCTCGTGGCGGTTTGCACTTTCAATCGTCGGGTGGTTGGGCTCCAGCAGAGTTGAGTGCAATGTTTGTCAGACGCAGACACCCCCCCCCCCCCCCCCGCGCGTCGTGTTG